CCGGTCCATTCTGGGTTCTAGTGGCCCTAATCTGCCCACTAGAGTGTGCACATGGTGTCCGGTATTAGTTTTTGCCGGCAGATGTTCAGTTATCAGTTACGTGACTTATGTCACGAGATCAGTATCAGGTTATTCAGACTGGTATCAGATATCAGTTTCAGTTTCAGTTTCAGTTCAGTTATATATGCCAGGATCATGATATTATTATTATATTCACTGTTTTACTTTAGTTTGAGTTTCTGCGGAGCACAGTGCCTTAGTGCTCACGCCCCCACGTATTTCATGTTTTTCAGGTTGCAGAGTCGGGGACGAGGAGTGAGCTGACGGGCAGTTCAGGATATTTGTTGATATGTATATATATGTTTTGCCACGCTGTTATTCCGCTAAGACTTTCAGTACTTAAACTCAGTTTTTGATCCGACACTAGTCGGTTAAAATATTATAGCCGTTTTCATTATCAGTTTAAAATTTAACAGTTTTCAGAAAAGTCAAGTTTTTTTCACGGTAGCACTCCGAATCAGTTTTCGCAAAATAAATATTTTATTTATTTATTCATAAAATTTGCGAAAAACGCGTACTCTGATTTCAGTAAAAAAGTCGGGGTGTTACAATTGGTATCAGAGCACGTTTCTGCGTCTCTGAAAAGTTTTTCAGTCAGTAATTTTCAGAAAAACCTGAACCGTCACGCTCACGCCTCGTCGACTACAGGTAAGTGCTGATTTAGTTTTCAGTTATAAACATATTTCATTGTCTATGCTCAGAAAATGATTAATCAGGACTTAGTTAAGATGCTCGAATCAGATTCAGACTTTAGAATTCAGTATACTCAGATATGACTTTAGAGTTCAGTATATTCAGATATGACTCTAGAATTCAGTATCTTCCGATATGACTCTAGAGTTCTTCAGGATTCATGTCAGTATTTATCGGCCATTTTTGGTAACTCGTCAAGAGATTTGTGTGCATTAGTAATCAGTCAGAGTATTTTATCATGGGTTCAAAAATGTTGAACTTTCTCAATGATCAGGTGTCGCCCCGTAGGGAACCCGATCACCCGGTTCTTACTCAGGCCACAGTAGTCGCACAGTTTCGCGACTATTATGCTGAGAAATTTTTCGGGCAGGGAGATCCCCGAATCGTGGACGAGTGGATTCAGAACCTTTAAAAAAGGATTAAGTTTGAAAACTCTAAATTCAATTCTAGATTTATTCAAGTCAAGTTAGCAACTTGTCAGGAGATTTGCAAGC